TTCTTTCATTGTAAAGTATCCAGAGGGACTGCTCGGAGACACAGGGCCCTTGTGCAACAGCCGTGCGTTCCCTCCTGCCCGGGGACGCAGCCGGCAGTCATTTTGTTAAAGATTTGTGTGTGGTTTGGGGAGGTTGTTCCTGGGGGCGGGGGGGGGAACCTGCGCTGATAAGAGCCAGCAAGTGCCACCAAAACACGTGATGCTGCTTCAGAGCTGGCTCTGCACAGCCGCCCAGCCCGTCTCCTCTCCTCCAGCCCAGGGTCCCCCTTGCCGGGGGTGCAGCTCCAGCTCTCCCTGCCTGCCCAAGGGGACCCCACTGCCGGGCTGGTCTCCCCCAGGATGTCTGACGGGCACGGGGTTGGTGCTGTGCGAGCGCAGTGCAAGGCGTGCACGGGGCGTGAACCTGCAGGTGTAACCCGGCCGCAGGGTGCTGGTGGTTGCAAACCTTGCTATAGGCACTAACCAGTGCTGTGGGCATCAGTGTCGCCGTCCTCTCCTCCCACCCGCCACGGAGGGGAGGGCTGGAGGTGATGCATGGGATGTTGGCAGTGAGATGAAGTGGGGGGCACGTCCAGCCCAGTTACACACCACAGGCAGGCATGGGAACCAGGAGCCAGACCAGGGCTTTGCAATTAATGTTTCATTAATCAGATGCAGCATCTCCTTGCTAGGAGCTTCTTCACAGTCAGGCTGCAATCTCCACCTATAAATGTGTGCGTGAGACTTTGGGAAATGCTCTGCAGGCAAGGGGGCGAGGAGGGTTTCAGGTTCTGGCTTTTGCCAGGCTGCGAGGGTCAGGGACAAAGTCCTGGAGGACAAAGTCCTGTCCCACCTGGAGGAGCTGGATTTCTGACAGAGGCGGGTGATGCCCCCTGCACTCCCTGCATGCTCCTGCGATGGGCTGGCAAGCGAACATACACAAAGCAGACCTGGGGCCAGACAAGTGTCTGTAGCTCAGGTCACCTGGGGGCTGTAGGGGAAGGCAGAGGTTTTCACATCTCCAATGTGTCGTGTTGATGCTGTATCCATGCCAAGGCATTGCTCATCCTGGTGGCAGAAGACACCATCCACTCTGCTTCATGTAATGGCACCGATGACTGGGCTCGCTGTTCTACTTTTGGGCACTTGAGACATGAAAATAAGTTATTTTTTGACACTGATGTCAGTTTGGTAGAAACCCCTTTCTGTTGTGCTCAGGGTGAGACACAGGTGGGTGCAGGTCCTGCCCAGCTCCGCTGCCAATGCAGCAACGTGTTGTCGTGGCTGATGGTGTGAGTTTGAGCCATCGCTGCCGCAGAGCTGGGGCGTGAAGCAGACCCTCAAGCTGCAGAGCTGGGGGCTGGAGGGGTGGCACAGGGACAGGGGCAGCCTGAGTCCCTCCCGGGCTGTCCCCATGGCCGTGCCCCGGCGTGATGGGTGTCAGCGGCACTGCTCCGGCTGTGTTTCAGGTGGGTGACCAGATGAAGCTGCTGCAGAACTGCTGGAGCGAGCTGCTGGTGTTTGACCACGTCTACCGTCAGCTGCAGCACGGCAACGAGCACAGCGTGCTGCTTGTCACCGGCCAGGAGGTGAGCGCTCGCCCACCGAGACCACGGCAGCCTCTGCGGTTGGGGTGGCAGGGGCCAGGCGGTGGGGCTGGAGGGAGGGCACAGGAGTGACTTTTGTCTTACTTCTGGCTGAGTGCAGCTGACTCGGTGCAGGGCAGACAGGTGGTTTTTGCTGGGCTATGGGACTGCTCGTGCAGAAGGGCCCATCCTATCCTATCCTATCCTATCCTATC